GCCTTAATGTGGTTGGAGGCTAGGATTTTTCTCCTGATGGCTAAATAATCTACACAAATAATATTATTAACACCCGAGTTTTATGAATAAACCTGTCATGAAAATTCAGTAACACCATGGTAACTATAAAGGAAAGACATAATTTCTTTAATTATCTGCCACATGCAGGAACAAACCTGTATAGCTTATCATACGTAAAAGTATTGAAGTTAAAACATATTTATTTTTTTCGTCCGCATGCGCTCATGCTGCTTAAATACAGTCCGCCCTCTATCGTAAAACAGATGCAGGCGCTCCAGAATTATAAAAAAAAATATAGCCTATTAGACTAGAAAAAAAATCTGAAAAAAATGAGTTAGGGGGAGTGGAATGTTAGAAGGAATCCACATAGCCAGATATCCAAATTAATCCTTTCTGGTCACCCTAAGCCCTGTCTCTTATACACATAAAGTTTAACAACTCGCTTCTTTGAGATGAGAACTTTGTTAAAAAAGTTAAAGAAATAATTAGAGATACAAAACGTATGTATGCGGCAACCCCATACAAATTGGAAAATATTGACAACATAAAAAATGATGACGTATGTTTTGTGATCGACGATCAACTTTTCTTTGAAATGATTCTGCTCGCAATTAGAGCTATGTCTATCCGTTACGGTTCACAAAAAAAAAGATCCGATAAATTAAAGGAAGAAACTTTGGAGATACAAATTAAAGAATTGAGTGACAAGGAAGTAAAGAATAAAGATATTCATGAATTGAATGAAAAACAAAAATTACTCATGGAATTACGTAAAAACAAAATGGAAGGGGTCTTGGTTCGGTCGAGAGCAAGATGGATTGAGCACGGTGAAAAGAAAATAAAAACAGAAAATAGAAACAGAGTTAGTAATACAATTAATAATATCTGAACAGAAAATAATAATAATTTAAAATCATCGAAGGAAATTCTACAGGAAACGAGGGCTTTCTACCAGAAACTTTATGCAAGGCGAGATAGAGAGGAAGAGGATATCGCTTTGGATAGCCTCTTTAAGAAAGGAGGATATATATATATGTTGACTGAGAGGGAAAAAATGAAATAGAAGGGCCACTTTCACTGCAAGAAATGAATAAAAGTTATAAAAATATGAGTAATGGGAAATCTCCAGGTTTAGATGGATTCACAACTGAGTTCTTTAATTTTTTTTTGTGGATATTGGTATTTTGCGGATATAGTATGTTGACTGAGAGGGAAAAAATGAAATAGAAGGGTCACTTTCACTGCAAGAAATGAAAAAAAGTTATAAAAATATGAGTAATGGGAAATCTCCAGGTTTAGATGGATTCACAACTGAGTTCTTTAATTTTTTTTTTTGTGGATATTGGTATTTTCCTTTGGAGATCGTCAAATCATGCATTTAAAACAGGCAAATTATCAATCACACAGAGTCAAGGCCTTATTACAATTTTGCCGAAAGGAGAAAAAGATCTTATTTGAAAAATTGGCGACCAATTACACTTTTGAATACGTCATATAAAATTATTTCTTCATGCAAATAGAATAAAAATTGTTCTCACAAATTTAATACATGAGCAACAGAGGGGCTTTATAAAAGGACGTTTCATTGGAGAGAATATCCGGCTTATTTACGATGTACTAAATATTGCTGAAAATGAAAATCTCCTAGGCCTGCTTTTAAATATTGATTTTGAGAAGGAATTTGATTCGGTGTCTCATTTGTACTTGAAAAAGGTGCTTCTTAAGTTTAATTTTGGCAAGGATATTTAGGATGGGTGCATATTTTCTACCATGAAGCAAAATCATCAGTTATGGTCAATGGTTTTATTTCCAAATCATTTTGCATTGGTCGTGGATGTAGACAGGGGGACAGTTTAAGTCCATATTAATTTTATTTTTGTTATGTATTTGAAGTTTTTGGAATAATGATTAGAAATAATGACAAGGTTAAGGGGTTAAAATTGGGTGATAAAGAATTTTTGCTCTCTACCCTGTGCTTGGAAAAGCGTCTCTACACTGATCAGATCAAATGTGCCGACGACTGACAACGCTGAAATAACGACTCTCATCGACTCTTGACTGTATAATTCGAATATCTGATCCGATCGTATGCGACCGCATTTGATTGACTATGCCTAGGCCTGTTAACGAATTCTAAAGTCATTGTTTTTCGATAATTGGATTTTAGATAACAGTTTAATTCTAGAGGAACATGTGAACCATAATAAACAATTCTCGTATGAAACACTGTTTCGGAAACTTAACTTGCAAAGTATCTGAACAGTCGACATCGAATCAGCACTTTACAGGCCTGGCCTTAATGTGGTTGGAGGCTAGGATTTTTCTCATGATGGCTAAATAATCTACACAAATAATATTATTAAACCTGTCATGAAAATTCATTAACACCATGGTAACTATAAAGGAAAGACATAATTTCTTTAATTATCTGCCACATGCAGGAACAAACCTGTATAGCTTATCATATGTAAAAGTATTGAAGTTAAAACATATTTATTTTTTTCGTCCGCATGTGCTCATGCTGCTTAAATACAGTCCGCCCTCTATCGTAAAACAGATGCAGGCGCTCCAGAATTTTAAAAAAATATAGCCTATTAGACTAGAAAAAAAATCTGAAAAAAATGAGTTAGGGGGAGTGGAATGTTAGAAGCAATCCACATAGCCAGATATCCAAATTAATCCTTTCTGGTCACCCTAAGCCCTGTTGACACTTGATTTTACGCCTTGTATACAAATTTCGGCCATTTTTCAAAATGGCCGCCAAATTTATTTAAAATGTGCATAAAATTGGAACTAAATAATCTACAGATACTATGTTGGTGTCTAAACTCATAATTTCTATAGGCAACAAACTAGACATATAAAAACTACTGTCACTCAAGCCAGAATGGAACAATTAAAAAATTGGTGTTTATTTGTTTTTAAAATACTGTAATTGCAAAATATACTTAAAATGTAGGGCCTACATAAAATAGGAACGAGTATAAGCTACTAGTACAGTTTTCTATGTAATCCAGATAGATTTTTGTGCAAAAATAGATTTTATTGACTAATTTTATCATTTTTACTGCGCTGAATTCAAACAAGTTAGGTGACATTTTTGTCCCAACGTCATCGGCCGCCATTTTGAATTTCAAGATGGCTGACGCACCACATAAAACATTGTCATAATTGGTGACAATGGAAAGGGAATTATACACTGATCATTTATTTCATTACACCTAAACAACATAATACATATTTACAGCGATATAGACCAATATATAAAGTCATATGAAACAAAATGTCAAAAGGTCAAAAAATCAAACTTACCAAAAGTTGTTGTGTTTGGTATCATTTTAAAGCTCTGCCAATGATGAGTTACGTTTTCCGGTATATACAAGTCAGAAACTGTGTAGTTTTTCATAGATTGTCCTGTAAATCCTATTTAAGGCATACTGTATACAAAAATAAACAGGACCCAGTTGCCTAATGTTCGTGAGCTCTCGGGGTGGAGGTGGGTGGGTTCTCTTAATTCTAACTAGCATTTTACTATCGAGCACATAACGCATGTGCTTTA